GATTCTGTGATTCTGTGATTCTGTGAAGTTTACCTCTACAGAGAGAGTTCAGAGTACTAATAGACCTATGGCAGTGGTCAAGCCTTCAAGAGCTTCTCCTCTCCTTGTTTATGGCACAGTTTATCCTATCCATGAAGTAGCCAGATGTTTTTCCAAAATATCAGAACCTTTTTTTTTCCCCAGAAGATCCTTATACATATTTATCTGTAATTTCTTGGTGATTTTTGACGCTCCTTTCAGAAAAACTTTTCTTAGCTTGTCAAGTGGGACTCGAATTTTTTATACCTGCTTTTCTTGCTATTCACATGTGTATCTAGTACTTTGCCCCCACCAGCTACATTTCTGGCCCGAAGAACACAGAGGCAGTTTTATATCAATTTTATCGGGGCTCCAGTCCCAGAAGCAGTGCACTCTTGAGCATAGAGTAGAACAACTCTACACCTGCTCCAAATTGGACTGGCTCCTAATAGCCTTTCCACAAGCCAAAGATTGCCTCAGCGTATTGCAGGGACCACAAGACAAGGCTGCTGGCTCTGTTTCACTTGGAGTTTCTGAGCCAGTGAGGGAAGAAGATTTTCCAGGTGCTTGGAGATGTTGATGAAGTGTAAGAGATGGGTTGTGGGGCAGGATCTCGTCCAAATGACCATTAAGCATACACATATTTAGTGGATAGGAATGAGTTCTTCTTGTGTTACCATTTTTCAGCTTTTGCCTTGGTATAATCCTGGCCATCAACCCAACCTGAACAGAGTCCTGTTTTCCTATATTTCTTTTACTTGATCTAGTTGTCCCTTTCTGCAAAGTGTCATTGTCAGAAACCATTAGTTGCAAAGCTATTATATGAAAACCTCACCAATCATTGCCTTATGAAGACTATCCAGTCCTTAAATCTTAACTGAGGAATAAATCATTACACAGTTTAGCATTCTCCTTATAAAGTATACCCAGTGATGGGGGAAAAAATGGGACAAGTTTTCAACTCTTTTCTCAGGTATTTTATTAAGAGAATGTAAAAAGAGTAATAAAGCAAGGAAGGCATGAAATAGTCTGAAACTATTGAGAAATGCTTGGTTATGATTCATCTCTGCTGCAACATTAGAAACTGAGCGAAATTCAACCCCTATATCATTGTCTGCATGTAAAAGCCAGCTGTCAGATAAAGACCTTTTCTCTTCAAATTTCCTGGCCAAGAGTATATATATTAGTATTAAAAGCTGGTAACAATTTTTTTCCTGAAAACGTTACTTAAACTTTACTAAAATTGGAAATAGATTTAGAGGTTACTTACTCATAGAACTTCTTGGGGAAGAACCCACATGGGGACAGCTGCAGACACCAGAGCATGCTTTCTGGTTTTAACCCTTCTTCCACCAATCTCACTGGTATAAAATGTTAATTTTAATGATGTGATTCCTGTGCTACATTAATCTTGATAAAGTCAGAATGAAATACAGAGTCTCCCTCACAATGAATAAGTAAACCTTTTAAAATCAACAAGAGTCAAATAGGTAACACCAACTGAATCTATGAGAGTGTTCCATAAAAATCTAAATGTCTTCATTACATTAAGATGTGACAGTAACTTCATTATTGCAACAGAAAGCTTTGCACACCAAAGCAGTTAAAATATGGGTGATAAATTAATCTGTATTTAGTAACCAAGAGCACAATTCTGTTACACTGGAGTGACTGCAAATTTGTATCTTTTAAGTGCACTAATGTCAAAGACTTGTTGACCCTAATCCTGATTTTTCTGCATGAATACAGAACTATCTGCCTTGGGCTTTTGCCACACAATCTATTGAGTATACCACCTTACTGTAGGTATTATATTTTTGATAATATTAATTGTGTAGAGATATAGAATACAGAAATACTGTGAGAAGGGAGGAGCTAAGCCTACTATCTACCCATATCATTTCATGAAATGATTTTTGCTAATAAGAACATCAGTGGCAGATTTGGAAAAGGTTTAAGCTCCACTTAAAACAATGGAAAAGACAAAGAGTAGATCAACCTGATCTAGTTGAAGATGTCCCCGCTCATTGCAGGGAGGTTGGACTAGATGACCTTTAAAGGTTCCTTCCAACCCAAACTATTCTATGATTCTATGTTCTTGCACGTAGAAATTCCCAGATTATAGTCGTGATGTCTATATTTACTCCTGTTCATCAAGACATTTTAGTCCCAGGTTCCCTAATCAGTTGGGATTGCTTGGCATCCAGATGCCCATCAGACAGGGCTAATTACCCTCACTGAAAATACAAATGTGAGCACCCAGCGGTTCCATCCTCACAGGGTGAAGTGCGTTGCCATGACACACTTTGAGTCAGGCTGACACCCTTCTCTCTGGCCTAACCAGAAAACAGCAAACTGATTACAACAATCCTAAATTTTGAGGTCATTTAGATATTGCAATCCAGGTTAGTCAAGCTTAATACAAGTACAGGGGAAATAAAAGCTTTTAGTTGCGTTTCCTCCACTCCGTCATCTCCTTCCAGCAGTCCTGCCCTGGCTGGCAGTGCCAGCGTGCCTACTATTGTCAGGAAGTTGCACTCCAGAGCATCGAGGTCCTCCCCTCTTATTCTTATTGTATCGGAACTGGCTGAGGTGGAGTTCATTTTCCCCGTAGCAGCCCTCACAGCGCTGTGCTTTGGACTAGTAGCTAGAGAGGTGTTGATAACACACCAGTGTTTTGGCTACTGCTGAGCAGTGCTGGCACAGCACCCAGGCTGTCTCTCCAACATTCCCCCTCACCAGTGGGCTGGGGGTGGGCAAGCTCTTGGGAGGGGACACAGCCAGGACAGCTGACCCAAACTGGCCAAAGGGGTGTTTCCTAGGGTATGACATCAGCTCAGCAATAAAAGCTAAGAGAAATGAGAGTGGAGGGGAGGGGCATTTGTTACCACTTTTGTCTTTTGGAGCAACCGCTATGTGTACTGAAACCCTGCTTCTCAGGAAGTGGCTGGATTTTGCCTGCTGATGGGCAGTAGAGAATAAACCTTTTGTTTCCCTTTGCTTCCATGTGCAGCCTTTGCTTTTGCTTTATTAAACTGCCTTTATTTTGACCCAAGAGTTTTTCCATCTTTTTTTCTCTCTGCCCTGTCCTGCTGAGGAGGGGAGTCATAGAGTGGCCTGGTGGGTACCTGGTGTCCAGCCAAGGTCAACCCACCACACCTATCCATGCTTTACAGGGCAAAAAGAAAGGAAGGATGGAGGTGGGATGCCAGCAACAAGTTTTCTGCCAGCTTTTGCTCCAGTCCATTGATTCACACACTGTGGAACAAAAAGCTTCTTTGACTTCTTATGACATGCATGCATAGAATGACTTATTAAAACGTATACATGGACTGAAAACCAAATGTCCTTAGATGGGTTGCACTGCTAATTCAGTTTTGACACTACTGAATTCAGTTTGATTTCACAAGTTAGATGAGGTTTTAATTCCTCAGAAGTCTCAGAAGGATGAATGACAGATAAAACAGGTAGCATATCTGAGAAAGAAACACTCTCTTTTTCTTGGTAGCTACAATCTGTAAGATTCCTCTCCGTAATCATTAAAGAAGTACCAATATCCTTCACAGAGCAGAATATAAGTAGGAAGATTGACATCTGGTCCTTTCAGTGCATATAGTATGCAGACAACTCTGAAGCCTTTTGCACTGAGGTACTGCGACTTGATTCTGAAATTTGTTCATAAATAACTATATTTAAAAGAACTTAAAAGGAAAATTCCACTGAGAGAGGTGACTTATCTTAATCAGCTTGGCCATTTTTTCAGTCATCATGTTATATTCAAGATAAAGTGTATTACTGAAATAAGCTGTCACTGAAATGTATTTATTGTGCCACATATTAACATAATCTTAGCCTACTCTCATTATAATGACATCTTCCTGAAAGACAAAAAGAAGAGGAATATCAGGAAAACCTGTAACTATATCATTAAAGACTGTCACTCTCATATACTTCAGTTTACCTTCTTTTTTTCTTTTCCTGTAGGTTGTGACCTCATCCCAGTCCAGTATCTCAGATGGGGTGATCCTGAACCAATTGCAGCAGTTGTTTTTGCATGTCTGGGTCTGCTGGCCACCTTGTTTGTTACAGCTATATTCATAATGTACCGTGATACTCCAGTGGTCAAATCATCCAGCCGAGAACTTTGCTACATCATTCTAGCCGGCATCTGCTTGGGCTACTTGTGCACTTTCTGTCTCATTGCAAAACCTCAACAGATTTACTGTTACCTTCAACGAATTGGCATTGGCCTCTCCCCAGCTATGAGTTATTCTGCTCTAGTAACTAAAACCAACCGCATTGCAAGAATCCTGGCTGGAAGTAAGAAGAAAATCTGTACGAAGAAACCTAGGTTCATGAGTGCCTGTGCCCAACTGGTTATTGCATTTATCTTGATATGTATACAATTAGGCATCATTGTTGCTCTCTTTATAATGGAGCCACCAGATATAATGCACGATTACCCAAGCATCCGAGAGGTCTACCTGATTTGTAACACCACCAACTTGGGTGTTGTAACTCCCCTTGGATATAATGGATTATTAATTTTGAGTTGCACCTTTTATGCATTTAAGACAAGAAATGTCCCAGCTAATTTCAATGAAGCAAAGTATATTGCCTTTACAATGTATACCACCTGCATAATTTGGCTGGCTTTTGTGCCAATATATTTTGGAAGCAACTACAAGATAATCACCATGTGTTTCTCGGTGAGTCTGAGTGCCACAGTGGCCCTCGGCTGCATGTTTGTGCCCAAGGTCTATATCATCCTTGCTAAGCCTGAAAGAAATGTACGCAGCGCATTCACCACATCGACTGTGGTCCGCATGCACGTAGGGGATGGAAAGTCATCTTCAGCTGCAAGCCGCTCAAGCAGCCTGGTGAACCTGTGGAAAAGAAGGGGATCATCTGGTGAAACCCTTAGGTAAAGTTTGCTAATGTGGGAGTGTGGGAAAGCAATTATGATCTTCTGGGAGTTACTAATAGTGGAAGGACAAAGGGAAATACATTAATTCCCTTTGCCTCTGCACTGGGAGAGGAGTGAGTCCCGTCTCACACATCTGTAACAGTTTTGGCTTTGATTTAGTCAAAACACTGTGCAAAAACAGAGGACAGAGCAATGGGCAAATGATTACAAGGCTGGAAGTACTGGCTGTGTCAACTGTGCACTTAATGTAGGGAGGGAAACAAGATCTTAGGAGGAAAAAAAGAACAAGAAATGTAAATTATTGCCTTGTCCGGAATGCACCCATTTACAATCTCTTT